TTGGGACAAATGCCACCAAACTGATTCATAGGCAGAGTTCTCCTTTGGCAGTCTCTTTTGATGGCTAGAGTTCCTGCTTAAGCCAACCTAATGGTGCTTAGCAATATCCTTAACACCCTTGTATTGAAGCACTCCTACTGGGGATTCATAGTGATAATCTAATGACGGAATCCCTATAAAAGACCTCGGTGGGAATTTTACTAAGTGGAGGTATTTTACCCTAGATGACTTTTAGCTAATTACTTCCTTAAGATGGTAGATTACTTACCCTTCCTTCTTTTAGGGCTCCTGCCTCAAGTTTGGGATGTTTTAAAGCTAACATTCTCTGCTACCCTGCCTCAATATATTCTGTAGCATTCCTTAATATTTAAAGGAGTTTTTTTTAATTGTATTTCATTTTTAAGAGAGAGAGCGAGCAGGGGGTAGGAGCAGAAGAAGAAAGACAAGCAGACTCTGCACTCAGCGAGGAGCCCTATGATGGGCTCAATAGCACGGCCCTTAGATCATGACCTGAGCTGAAATCAAGAGTTGGACACTTAACAAACTGAGCCATTAAAGTGCCCCTAAAGGAGTTTGTTTTTTTTATAAGATTTTATTTATGTATTTATAAGAGACTCAGAGAGACAGGCAAAGACATAGGCAGAGGGAGAAGCAGGTTTCCTCCAGGGAGCCCAATGTGGGACTCAATCCCAGGACCCCAGGATCATGACCTGAGCCAAAGGTAGACAGACACTCAACCACTGAGCCACCCAGGCGTCCCCGCAAAGGAGTTTTAAAACCTCTTGGTTAGGGTTTATTTACTGGCAAGCTCCATTACTAAGCTGTCCAAGTAATTCAGTGAAATCTTTTATATAGAAAAGGTAAATATCTCAGACTAAATCAATCAACTGTTCTAAATTTATCAAAAACTTGATTGTTTATCTGTCAGATTTGGATAGAAGGAAGATCATATAAAGATATGATGAATAGAGGAAAAAACAGGGTAAGCTAATATTTTATGTCATAAGATGCAAGGGGCACTAAGGAGAATCATGAGGGACAAGACATGCTCTCTGCCTTCATGGAGCTGACATACTTGTAAGGGAGAGAGGGCAAAATCAGTTAAGCACAGACATCAAAATAATTATAAGTGGTCATAGATGCTACACAGAGGATGAGTAAGGGGCTGTGACAGAGAATGAAGTAGAAGGAAGAAGAAATCTCCCTTGGAATGGGCTGTCAGGAGAGGCTTCTTTGGAAAGATGGCATTTGAGCTGAGACCTACAAGAAAGAAGGAACCAGCTCCACCAAGATTGGCGGGAAGAGCTCTGCCACGGCTCATGGAAATCCCTGGAGTGGGAGCGCTGGACACACAAAGAAAGTGAAAACGAGTAGGGCAGCAAGTAACACACCAAGCAGGGGGAAGTGGCTGATAACTGGCTTAGAGGGAGAACTAGGGACAAAGGATGCAGGGCCTTGCAGGTCATGGGATGCAGGTTGTTTTTTGTTCCAAGTACAAACAGAAAGCCAAGGGACAGCTTTAAGCTAGAGGATGACACGATCTGTTTTAAGAAAATTCCTGGGATGTCTGGGTGGCTCAGTGGTTGAGCATCTGCCTTCAGCTCAGGGCCTGATCCTGGGATCCTGGGATCAGGTCCCACATCGGGCTCCCTGCATGGAGCCTGCTTCTCCCTTTGCCTATGTCTCTGCCTCTCTTTCTCTCTGTGTCTCTCATGAATAAATAAAATATTTTTTTAAAAAAGGAAGATTCCTTTTGTGGCTACTTGGGACACTGCACTGAAGTAGATCAAGAATGGAACTGAAAGGGTGCCGGGGTGGCTCAGTGGCTGAGTGTCTGCCTTCAGCTCAGGGAGTGATTCCAGGATCCTAAGATAGAGTTTCACATCAGGCTCCTTACAGAGAGCCTGTTTCTCCCTCTGCTATGTTTCTGCCATTCTCTCTGTCTCTCATGAATAAATAATAAAAAAAAAGAACGTAACTTGAACGTTCTTTTTTTTATTATTTATTCACCACAACATCATTTACAACAGCTAAGATATGGAAGTAACACAAAGTGCCCATCAACAGACAACTGTATAAAGAAGATATGGCATACAGGGGCACCTGGCTGCCTCAGTCAGGAGAGTATGCAATTCTTGATCTCAGGGTCATGAGTTCAAGCCCCATACTAAGTGTAGGGCCCACTTAAAAAAAAAGTAAGATGTGGTGGGTTGTACACATAATGGACTATTACTCAACTACAAAAAAGAATGAGACCTTGCTATTTGTGACAACATGGATGGATGTAGGAGGTATTATGTTAAGTGAATTATGTCAGAGAGAGAAAGAGAAATATATGATTTCACTTATATGTGGGATATAAGAGACAAAACAAATGAACAAACAAAAACAGACTCATAAAAAACAGAGAACTGGTGATTGCCAGAATAAGAAGGTGGAGGGCATGGGTGAAATTGGTAAGGGGATTGAGAGGTACAAATTTCCAGTTATAAAATAAGTAACTCATGAGGATGAAAAGTACAGTATAAGGAATACAGCCAATCATATTGTAATAACATATGGCAACAGATGGTAACTACACTTACCATAGTGAACATTGAGTAATATGTAGAATTGTTGAATCACTGTTATATACCTGAAACTAATATACTACTATAAAAACTAATATAATATTGTATGTCTACTATAATTCAATTTTTTAAAAAAGAGTGGAACAGGAAAGCCACTTTGAGGCTGTTGAAGTGTTCCATACCTGGACCAGGATTGTCCCAAAGGTAAGTGGCAAAGGAGGACAGATTCAGGATATATCTTAGATAAAGAAAGTACTAGACTCTCCTGTAGGGATGTGGGTGGCTCAGTTGCCTAAGTATCTACCTTCAGCTCAGGCCGAGATCTCAGGGTCCTGGGATCAGCCCTGTGTCAGGCTCCCTACTCAGCAGGGAGTCTGCTTCTCCTTCTGCCTCTGCCCCTCCCCCTGCTTGTGCTCTCTCTCTCTGGCAAATAAATAATTTTAAAAAAAAAAGGGGGGGGGATGTAGGCAGCCCCGGTGGTGCAGCGGTTTAGCGCCACCTTTGGCCCAGGGCCTGATCCTGGAGACCCGGGACCAAGTCCCACGTCAGGCTCCCTGCATAGAATCTGCTTCTCCCTCTGCCTGTGTCTCAGCCTCTTCTCTCTCTCTCTCTCTCTCTCTCTCTCTCTCTCTCTCTCTCTCTCATGAATAAATAAATAAAATTTTTTAAAAAGGGGGGGTGCCTGGGTGGCCCAGTCGGTTGGCTGTCTGCCTTCCACTCAGGTTCCTGGAATCAAGCCCCACATCTTTCCCTCTCCCTCTGCTATTCCCCTAGCTTGTGCTCTCTTTCTCTTGCTACCAAATAAATAAATAAAATCTAAAAAATAAATTAAATTTTAAAAAAATACTCTCCTGTGAACTAACATGTATGGGCTGAGAGAAAGGAGACTTAAAAACAACTCCCAGCTTTGACTTGAATAATAGGGTCAACAGGATCATCATTATAAACCAAAGGTTTTTAAATTTTTTATTTAATTTTTTCAAGATTTTTCTTCTTGCTCACTCTTAAAAATAAAGGTATTTGTCTTTGGGTTTCAAACTCTGATATGCATTGGAATCCCCTGTGGGCTTATTTTTTTCTTTGCTTAAAATACAGATGCCAGGGCCCCACCCCTCTTGAATCACAATGAGGGAACACAGGGCCCAGGCATATGCTTTTATAACAACCTTGGCAGGGCTCAGATGTATAAGAGTGAGACCCATTGGTTTAAGGCGAAAACATGACATGCGGGGTCACAGCAAGTTCTTTAAGGATAGATAGTGAATCAGATTTACCGACAAGTTCATGGAAGCCACTATTTCTAATTACCATAAAAATGGTATTCAGGTAACAGTGAACTCATGAATAGTCTCACAAAACAAAATGTGTTTCTAAAAGATAAGTTGGAGGACATGGGGAAGGGGCAGGTGAATAGCAGTTTCTAAAGGAATTATCTACTCCCGAGATGCTGTCTGCACACATTTGTTTTGTGTAAGTAAGGATTTCTCAGGTAGTATAATTATACACAGACACACACACACACACACACACACACACACACACACACTGAGTAATTTGGTTACTCAATGACTATTTCTGATCCCGCCAAAGTTTGTAGAACTCCAAAGTGTTACCAATATCATTAAAAAAATAAGAATAGGGGATGTCTAGGTGGCTCAGTGGTTGAGCATCTGCCTTTGGTTCAGGTCATGATCCTGGGGTCCTGGGATGAAGTCCCTCAACAGGCTGCTGGTGGGGAGCCTCCTTCTTCCTCTGCCTGTGTCTCTACACCTCTTGCTGTGTCTCTCATGAATAAATAAATAAAATATTTTTTAAAAATAAGAATACATTCAAGGGGGTGCCTGGCTGACTCAGAAAAGCACTCTGGATCTCGGGGTCCTAAGTTCAAGCCCCACATTGCATGTAGAGATTACTAAAACTAACTAACTAACTAACTAAATAAATAAATAAATAAATAAATGATTTTAAAAATAAATTCAGTAAATATTCACTGTGAAACGCTACACTCAGTACCATGAAATGTTAGAGAATGGGAATAAGAGGCACGGCGATGGTTTATAACGATGGCTAAATGTGGGAAAAAGGAAAGAGTGCCCGCCGTGTCACAGATTGTTAGCATCAATTATTTCACGGAGCCCTTACAAGTCCACTGTGAAACAAACATCACTGTGTTCTTTTTCGTGATGAGAAAACCAAAGCTTAAAGACACATGTTACTGCATCTGAGTATTGCTTCGAGTAAAGCAGCAGAACCAGAATCTCAGCCCATATCTGCCTGGTTCCAAAGCCTGTCTGTTCCATGAAGCCCATGAGGAACTTAAACCAGTGAGGGTGTTCAAATCTTAGCATAAAAGTCTATCTTTATGCCACCAAGTTTTAGAAGTGTGATAAAATGGCCCTTTCCCCTGGTGGGCAGCATGGAGGCCGCATAATGTCTGGAATTACTGCAAAAGATGTGAACCAGCAGGAGTTCGTCAGAGCTCTGGCAGCCTTCCTCAGCAAGTCTGGGAAGCTGAGGGATGCCTAGGTGGCTCAGTCGGTCATGAGTTTGCCTTTGGCTCAGGTCATGATTCCAGGGTCCTGGGATGGAGCCCCCATCAGGCTCTGCCTTAGCAGGGAATCTCCTTCTCCTTCTGCCTCCTCCCCACCCCCACCCCCACCCCACTCCACCCCTCCCACTGCTCATGATTGTGTGCTCTCGTGCTTGCTCGCTCACTGTCTCTATCCTTCTCTCTCTCTCTCTCTCTCTCTCTCTCTCTCTCTCTCTCTCTCATAAATGAATACAATCTTTGGGGAAAAATAAATGTCTGGGAGTCTGGAAATCCCTGAATGGGTGGACATTGTCAAGCTGGCCAAGCATAAAGAACTCGCTTCCTATGACAAGAACTGGCTGTACACACAAGCTGCTTCCACAGCACAGCATCTGTACTTCCGGGGTGGTGCTGGGGTCACCTCCGTGACCAAGATCTACAGGGGACGTCAGAGAAATGGGGTCATGTCCAGCCACTTTAGCGGAGGCTCTAAGAGCGTGGCCTGCAGAGTTCTCCAAGCCCTGGAGGGGTTGATAATGGTGGGAAAGGACCAGGATGAGGTCCGCAATCTTACATCTGAGGGACATAGAGAGGTCTGGATAGAATCACTGGACAGGTGGTAACTGCCAACAAGAAGCATTAGAACAAATGCTAGGTTAATAAATTGCCTCATTTGTTTAAAAAAAAAGTAAAATAAAACGTACTAACAGATTTCTAAAACAATCCAAATCATGTGGGTACATCACTGGGGGGGAAAAAAAGGCATACCAGACACCTTCTCTCAAAATTTTCAGCTACTCCTTGATGGAAAGGTAGGATTGTGAAAGAGTTGTGGAAAGCCAGTCCTTCTTCCTCCCCAACATCTTAGACCTTTTGTCACATCTGCCAGGAAAAAATAGGACTTCGGCATTACCACAAGATAGAGCACGCTAACAAGAAGCACATATACTTAATTGTGTGGGACTCAATTGTGTGGCAATTTGCTGCATGAATTGAATCTTTCAGGTTCCCTGAATCTTGTCGTACACCTAATACTAAAATAAGTAAATATATGATTTCCATGGGAAAGCAGGGGTAGGTTTGGGTCTTGTCATGTCAAATACAATTTTAGGTTAAGTACAAATTTGAGGACAATAAGGTATTAAATCCATAGGAGGTTTTTGCCTCTAGTGAGGCATGGACTCCCTAGGGGATACTATTTATCATTCAAACACAGAAAGGGCAAAAGCAATTTTTTCCAAGCTTTTTTAATATCATGAAGGTGGCACAGCCTTATGAAAATCAAACTATTTGAAATGCAGAGTTTCCAGCAATTCCACAACCTGGAAAGGTTGATTCTTTATTCTCTATGAATTATTGCTGGTTTCCTTGCTCTCTCTGTGTCACAAGATAAAGTCAGACTGTTGGAAGGACACGAAGGAGCCCTCTCTCATGAATATTCATATGTAAGAACCCCTCATCCACAGCAACCCATCATAGTGGATCATTGTATTAGTTACCTAGGGCTGAATAACAACTCATCCCAAACCTTGATGGCCTAAAACAACAAATATTTAAAAGTTTCTGTGGGTCAAAAATTTGAGAGTGGCCTGGTGGGTAGTTCTGATTCAGTGAATGCCCTGAGGTCATAATCAAGATGTTGGCCAGGGATACAATCACCCTACACTCAAAGGGAAGGAAAGCCTGTGGCTGGAGGATCCAATTCCAAGCTCACTCATGCAGCTGTTGGCCAAAGGCCTCAGTTCCTACCATATGGGTCATACCAGAGGGTGGCTTGAGTGTCCTCACAACATGGCAGCTGGTTTACCCAAGAGGCCATGATCCAAGACAGTGAGAAGCAAAGAGGAAACCACAGTGCCATTATGACTTAGTCTTGGAAGTTAGCATCACTTCTGCCACGCTATTCATTAGAAGTGAATCTCTAAGTCGAGCCCACACTCAAGAAGAGGAAATCCAACTCCACACTCTGAAAGGAGCACCAAAGAATTTGTGGACCTATTTTAAAACCACCATTAACTACCTGAAGCAAAAACAAGTGTGCTTCCCTGTGAAGCAGAGGAAGTTCTTATTAAATATTAGTGGTGTTCTCTTGTGATTCTCAGTGAAGAGTAGGGAGTTGCTTGGTAAGAAAACAAAATAATGGGGATGCCTGGGTGGTTCAGTGGTTGAGTGTCTGCCTTTGGCTCAGGGTGTGATCCCGGGGTCCTGGGATTGAGTCCCATGTCAGGCTCCCCACAGGGAGACTACTTCTCCTTCTGCATGTGTCTCTGCCTCTCTCTCTGTATCTCTCATGAATAAATAAACAAAAAAAAGAAAGAAAACAAAATAATGGTGACTTACTCTATCATGTGGGAAATCATTTTGATGCAATCATGGCCATCATCACTATCAGGCAAGGTATCCCCAAATCCCAGAGGTTACAGAACAGAAAGTTTCACAAAGCAAATTATGATACAAATAATTAATACAGAATTTATTGAATCAGTTTAAAATACAGTGAGGAACAAGAGAGAAGATATGGGGTAGCTTAATACACTTAGAAGAGGATACAAGCAGGGTGGAAGGGCCATACACTTAAATCCTTAGAATGATCTCCTTTTCTCTTCTCTCCCTCTCTCCCTCAATATTTCTCTCTCTCTCCCCTACATCAGCCTTCCCCCACTGATGGCATAGTTATAAACTATGTACTGTGGTCTCTTAGCCCACAACTTGAAGATTCCTGAGACCAATGGTATACACTTGCTCAGCTGGAGAGACACAGGTACAAGCACCCCTGGACATGGATACAGCTTGTCAATAAGCCTGCTCAACAGCTATGAGATTCATTTGTTTTTCTTGGGAAGAACACATGTGAAGCCACCATTTTACCCTATCGGACGTCTGTTACCAATGGGTGGCCAATTTAGAGGTGACGTAACTGTCAACCAGAGGTAACGTGATCATGCTTCGGTCTTGATCTTTCCATCATCACCCTCTATTCATAAGAACAGTCTTGTCTGTTCCATTATAAAATCCATTTATTCTATCTTTCTTTTAAAAATATTTTATTCATTTATTTGAGAGAGACAGAGTGAGCACAAGCAGTGGGGCAGAGAGAAAGAGGGAGAAGCAGGCTCTCTGCAGAGCAGGGAACCTGATGCAGGGCTAGAGCCCAGGACCCTAAGATCATGACCTGAGCTGAAGGCAGACACTTAACCGACTGAGCCACTCAGGTGCCCCCATGTATTCTATCTTTTAACATCTTTTAGAAGACTTACTACCTAAATTTAAAACCTCTTGCATATTCTGCTTCTTTCACATGATCACTCATTATCTATACTTAACACATCCTATGAATTTTGCCTATATCCTATGAGTTTGTAGCTTACTATTTATGCCTAACACTTATGACTTTCATCTATCCCAATTAATTTATTTTCTACAGCAGAACTCAATCACTGAAATAGAGTACAAATATGAATGATAGCAGTTGTATTATTCTCCAATAATAACCCCAAGCCCCACATTTTCCACTGTCTCAAAAAGCAGACAGCCAGGGCAGCCCAGGTGGCTCAGAGGTTTAGCGCCGCCTTCAGTCCAGGTTGTGATCCTGGAGACCCGGGATCAAGTCCCACGTTGGGCTCCCTGCATGGAGCCTGCTTCTGTCTCTGCCTCTCTCTCTCTCTCTCTGTCTCTCTCTCTCTCTTGCTCTCGCTCTGTGTCTCTCATGAATAAATAAAAAAAATTTTTTTAAAGGCAGACAGTCCTTTATTAACTGGGGGAATCTTTTTTTTTAATTTTTTTTTAATTTTTTGTTTATTTATGGCAGTCACACACAGAGAGAGAGAGGCAGAGACACAGGCAGAGGAAGAAGCAGGCTCCATGCACCGGGAGCCCGACGTGGGATTTGATCCGGGTCTCCAGGATCGCGCCCTGGGCCAAAGGCAGGCGCTAAACCGCTGCGCCACCCAGGGATCCCTAACTGGGGGAATCTTTTTTTCCCCACTATGGATTTGGATTGTGTGATTTCTTTTTTTTAAGATTTTATTTATTTATTCATGAGAGACACTCAGAGAGAGGCAGAGACATAGGCAGAGGGAGAAGCAGGCTCCCTGCAGGGAGCTCGATGCAGGAATCGATCCCAGGACCCTGTGATCACCACCTGAGCCAAAGGCAGGCACTCAATCACTGAGCCACCCAGACGTCCCTGGATTGTATGATTTCTAAAAGAAGTTAATGCACTTAGGAGAGGCACTTAGGTCGGAGCTGTTATGGCTGACAGCTCTCTTGGACAACAGGAGGTCTGTAACCTATTCACATACCCTAGCCGCACTACTGCCTGCTGACCAACCAGTGACAAACATCAAGGTCTGCCCAGAAAAATGCAGGATACTTTGTATGATTTCAGGAACCAGACAGGATCCCTTCGCATCATACAGGGTGAGTTCTCTGGAAACAGATGCTGTGACAGAGCTTAGGGTGCAAGATGCTTATTAGCAACCAACATGTTTGAAAGAAAGGCAGAACAGAAGAAGAAGCTGAGCTAGAGAGGAGGCCCGATACAGCCTAGTCCAATCCAAAGGGAATCTCTGAAGATAGAATTGCCCAGCAAGGAGCACCTGGCTGGCTCAGTCATAGAACATGCAACTTTTGAACTCGGGGTTGTGAGTTCAAGCCCCGTATTCCAAAGAGAGACTACCTAAAAAGAAAACCTACCCAAAAAAGCTGTCTGCCAGAGTTGTCTCCCATCTGGCCAAAACAGCAGGCCTTTTAGACCATTGTCTCCCTCAGCCATTGGATGTGGGCTGCCCCGGAAGGACATGACCCCCTACAAGGCTGCTCTCTGCACATCAGGCAGACCCTGGAAGCTCTGAGAGCTGGAGGCTGCCTGCTGATTGCACTCCTCACCCCTGGGTAGCAAATCTTTCCTTGGAGAAGGATCTGGGTGGTACATCTCTGTGTTGAATATGGAGACAGATCTTTCCCCATGAAATGGGATGTGGTCTTCTTGACAAGGAGGAGAGAGGATTCAGACAGATCCCAAACAAAGGGTACTTGGGAAGCAGAGGCCAAACCTAAGGGTAGAAAAGCCAAGTGGCAGTGAGGGGAAGCTGGTGAAGGGTGGCCTGTTTTCCAAGGGAAGACCAAGGTCTCTGGGTACATCTCTCAGGAAATGGAAAGTCAAATGAAGCGAGAACTTTAATTTCTATCTCTGCTCTCTGTTCCTCTTTTCTTTTTTTAAAGATTTTATTTATTTATTCATGAGAGATACAGAGAGAGAGAGAGGCAGAGACATAGGCAGAGGGAGAAGCAGGCTCCCTGCAGGGAGCCCAATGTGGGACAATGGGATCACATGCTGAGCCAAAGGCAGATGCTTAACTACTGAGCCACCCAGGTGTCCCCTCTGTTCCTCTTTTCTGAAACTGCTTTATCCCTTTAGGGACAGGGGAGCCAGCGAATATCCCTCATATCTCCAAGAGAGGAAACAGCGGTGATTTCTGGCCCTGGAAATCTTCCCATACCTAAGCCAGATGCCACAGGCAGCACTAAGCTTCTCGAAAATATGTTTTGGAGAAAACATGCAAAAAATAAGACCAAGCCTTCTGGTTATATTTACAAATAAGCAGATGATCCCTCTTCAGAA